TTAAAGAACACTGTTGTCCACTTATTACAGTAGCTGATGTTTTACTCGTTCTTAGTATGTTCAGACCGCTGAGGAATAGGCGAAATGATTTTGACATTTCACCGTAATTCGCGTCTAGCCTACTTAAATGTTAGTTAAATTGTCTATTTAAAAATTAAATTCCATTATAAGATAAAACAGTTATATTCCTTTTAAGCTTACCTTTGTGGTGAGCTAATTGTAGGGTGTTTATTATTATTATTATTATTATTATTATTATTATTATTATTATTATTATTACAAAACGAAAAAACATTTTCCACTGGTAAAGGAAAAATACATCGAACTAAGGGCCGAGAATACACATCAATTTAAATTGGGGACGTTTCTTCACGTGTTGAGTTTTGTGTGGAGCAAACTAAGCCAGGCAATTTATTGAAACGTATTCAAGGGAATCCTTCAGGAAATGGCTAAATGACATTCTGGGGCTGATTAACCACTTGCAAATACAGAAGTGGGGAATGCTGAATAGCCTCTACACATTTGGTGCTTTTCTAAGGGCTGATCAATTAAAATGTCATGGACACACATTAAGATTCACTGCCCAGACCATACCCCACACCCATATGTAATTTACTCCTGATGCATGGGGCGTACTTCCTGATAATTTTAAACTGTTAACCTTCTAAGGTCACTGTCCCATTAAACTGATCCTTTGATCAATTGACTACGAACTTTAGACAGTGGTCCAGGTTGCCTCCTATTGTTTCTAAACTGTCTTATTCTTTTTTAAGTGTGTGAATAAAAATAACAGAAGTACAAAGTAGGATTTATGTAATTATGTAATAAAAGAAACTGTTAAATTTAAACTCGGATTGTCTGATGATGAGCTATTCTGCATGGTTAAAACAAAATACAAGGTGGAGGGCCGAATCCTTCAGGAAAAAATAAAACAGATTCTCTCTAAATTTAGTTAAGGCTATCTTAATTTGCTACACTGAGTACAATCTGATAAAGACCCCAGTGTGAGTCATTGGGTTTTGCAGGATGATGCAGTAAAGAAATTCCAGCTTTGCAGTTTCATTGTTTAGTTTCTTTTGTATAGAAGGCTACGTTGTATAAATGTTCTAATGGATACAGAGTCTATTAGACATAAAATGGACTTTAGTGGATGGAGCTAATTATTGCTCTATTTTGTTCATGTTTTCTGGATCCTGTTCACCCCTGTGTGTATTTGTTTGTGTGTCTGCATGGGTGCAGGTTGCTGTGGCTTCTGCAACATGCTGTCAGCACAGTGAAACTGAAACAGGGGGGCGTATAATGGTCACTGGGACTGAGTGTTTTAGGTTTATGCTTTTCTGTTTTTTCTCCGTTAATAATTTTGGCTTACCCCACACCTTTTTAACTCAAGTCCGCATCCCAAATGCTGTTTATCCTTAGAAACCCTCTAAGCAATAGATTTATTTTCACTGGTGTCAGAAGGAAGAAGGATGGAGCAGTAATACTGTACAACCCATGCAAGCAGGAGTGGGCATTAGGGCAGAGAGAGAGAGGCACTGGAACCCTGCTGATGCCAGGCGCCTGCAATCGCACCCAGCTGGAAAAGAATTGTGGCAGAGGCAGTGCACTGACCAGGGAGGGCTGTTTTGGGAGTGTGAGGAGCAGTTTGGAGGTCCTACAGGCAGCTTGGGGAGGCGCACAAGTTTTTGTGAGCCACTGGCACAACCCCACTCGGCTGGAGGAGAACGCAGGCTAGCTGAACTACCGGGAATGAGCCAAGCTTGCCCTCATAGCAGTGATGAGCGAAGCCAGGTGTCATGCCTGGGTCACTGCCTTGAGGTGGAGGCAGAAGCTGATCCCAGTCTGGTGTAGAGGAAGACAACCATCCCCCCTACCATGATGAATCCAGGGGCGAACAGGAGGACTTGGTTCCACCATTGCCAACATCAGCATGCCGGCCGGGGGATGCCAGGACGTTTTCAGCCAGGCGGCCCCCTGCCAGAGCAGCAGGATGCGCAACTAGAAGAAAGTGGAGTCGCTATAGCCCTTGATCCCAGAGAAAAAGAGGACCATGCTACCCAAGGGGGTGTTGCCAGTGCTGCCAGATGGGGAACAAATCATGCTGCCGGAAAGGTAGCAACCTGAACAACAGGGCTGGTGGGAAGGAGCCAGACACTGTACTGTATCTGCTTATCTGTACTGTATCTGCCTGTGCCTTGATGGTGATATGACTATGAGGGCCGGCACTAAACATTTTTACTGGTACTGGACTTTAAATGCAATCCTGTATGTAGAGTGTCCTTCAGCCTTAGGAGAGGCTGTAGTGGAAATCCTTCTGGTATTAAGTACAGTGGCCCACACCTCCCCATCCCACCCATCAGGAGTAGGTTTTGAGCTATTGAGTCCTAACTGACAACTCTCCTATTTAGGCAGGACAGGAAAAAGGGAAGACTGGACTTTGCTCTGTGTCCATTAGCTGCTCTGGGGAGTAAGAGGGGTCTTTCCTGTGTGGAATGTGTTACTGAACTGTCTTATTCGTGTTTTCTGAGTCCACATGTGGGTGTATTTTTTTTTTCTGCGGCATGCTGTCTGGGAAAATTGGAGCAGAGGGCTTGCAACGGTCGTACATTATTCAAGGCGGAGAGAGGTGATGTGGGTGGAGGGAGACCCGGTGGACTGATAAATTTGTGGAGAAGGGGGATCCTCTCTCCCTCGGAGGTAATTCCCATGGCGGGGAGTACAAATAAGGGCTGTTTTTCCTGTCTTTCGGGGAGTTCGGTGATTGTGGAGCCGAATGATTTAGGTTCGTGCTGCTTCTCTAAACGTTTATTTGTTAATATACAGCGTTTTTTAGTCAGGTCTGTTAATGCAGGTCTGTTAACTCCTTGACAACATTTTTCGCGAGACCTATAACACTGTCCAGCAGTTTGAAGTCATTTACCAGGTGTTGCCGCTCCTGCTATACCCGCAGAAAAAATAGGTTTCGCTCCCTCTACTTAAAGGTACGCAGAGTTACATTATAACGTGTGAGCTCTGGCGAAAGGAGAATGGGCTCGCCTGTAACTTTTTTCACACTTTTTTAAAAGTGAAACTACTGTACTTGTTAAGAATGAATTATACTTTAGTTTCAAGAGCAACGTAATGCCCAGTCCCGCCAGTACAGCCTTTGTGTTTCTTTTAAGGAATATATTTAAGCATACTTTTAAATTGGTTTGACAAACACCGATGTTTCTGAAACATTGTGTTTAATTTTAGATTATAGGCTAGGTACTGTAAATTAACACCTTGTGTCGTTACTGCTTGGCACCAACAAAATGCATTGATTAATCAATTTCATTCTACGTGTGACAAAATGTTGAAATACGTTCTAGAGGAAAGAGCTAGCAATAATCACAGGAAAGGTGCGGTAGACAGGATGGAAAAAAATCAGAAGATCCATTTGCACAAATTCTCCTGACTTAGCACTTTAAAAAAAAACAGAAATGGTCCCACCCAAACTGTAAAACGGAACTACACTGCGATTATATGTAATCTATATGGAATTCTCTGTATCTCGTGTTAGGAGCGCTTTAATAAGAGATTAGAAAAACTAAAAAAAAAAACTACTGCAGTGACAATGAGATGCTGTAATAATTAGCATGCCATGATGAGAAAATATATCATGCGTTGCTGGACAAAATACGATTGTATAATCATGGTATTCACGACTGAAACATTGTGATTTAATATTGTCATTGATCTGCAATGTAAACTATGAAATGATATAGGCAGTTTATGTTATAATTAAAGTTCAAGTAATACTGTCCTTGTATAGTCGAGTCATTACCTAGAAGTGTTTCATGTTCTCGGTACTTAAAACAGCGAACATGAAGCACTTCTTTACTCAAAGATAAGTGGGGGTGTGGAACAAGAGATCCAGACGTGTTGTCGAAGCCTACACCCTGGCATCTCCCGCAAAAACTACGAGATAAGCTAGATGGACCGATTTGCTTCCCATGGTTTGCAGCCTTTCCTATTTTTACCTATTTTCCCAGGTGAAAAGCTAATGTGTTCTCTTTGTGGTGACACGATCCTCACCATGCTGAAGTATCACTAAGATCCCACCACATGGAAAATATTAAGCCGGACAAAATGACACCAATGTGGAAGTCATGCAGCCACTGTTTTCAGTTTCCATACAGATCTGGTGTTATTGTTTGTTGTTGTATGTTTAGTATACAAAACGTGTTGTTGGTGTAAACGTGGTCACCTGCTGAAAGGTTTTGTGTTTGCTGCCTGTGTTAAAGATAAAGTGAAATAACCGGAGCTCAACTACTGATACTGTATGTCGCTTTGTGTTAAACAATATTGCGTTATCGATCTGGTGACTTAAATGTTAAGAGTTAAAAGCTATTCAAAGTGAAATGAAATACTTTATGCGAACGTCATCACGTAGGCGAAGAGCACGTTTTAGATTTAAAAACTTGGTATCTATCAAGTAGTATAGCATACATAGTATATGATTTTCCTTGTTTACATTTCAGTTGTAGTATACTTTAGTATATATACACAAAGATGTCGATTGTTTACGTCGTAAACAATGATGATAAAATCACAATGCAAGTAAAACTTCGCCAGCGTTTTGAGTTGTACGTACACATGCGCACACAAAATTACATATAATTTCAGTAACTGCATGAGTACTTTGGTTATGGTTTCTGTTTCCGTGCGTTTCCGAAAATGTGTTATGTTTAGCATCGCCTGTTAAAAACTAGCATGCCTCGATTTTGCGATTCCCACCAAATCAAGCCTCTCCTTTTTTCATTGATCAGCCTAACGCGTATACAGACGTAGTTTGAGACTACTTTAATCACGTCGTTTCGAAGGATTGAAGGATTTAACAGTTCACAAGATTTACTATGCGTGTGCCAAACCCCGCCTGCCAGTAACGTCATTGGCTTTACTCGTATAGTGGGGAGGGGGGCTGGAGGAGTCACTCCCCTGCCTACTTTTAATAGCTTTGTCATGTGATGGCAAGCAGTTGTAAGACAGGTGCCTTCAGTTCATTCTCAGTAAGGGGGCAGTTCCCAGAGTGAGAGCAAGTGGACACCAAGTGGATTTTTTTTCTTGATTTTTTTGTGTGTGCCGTCATTCAGTGGCTGGATGGCGTGGGACAGGTGTAACCAGGACTCTGTATGGAGAGAATTAGAGGTGAGCTGTTAAATAAAACGAACGCTTTGTGAACTGTTGTTGGGGGTCGGAGCAATTTTGGGCAAGATGGACCACGGAGGACATCACGGAATGGGTAGAGAATACAGTTTTTACGGGTGATGTGGTTATCGTTAAACACCCAGCTGCACGGAAGATGTGCGACAAAGGAAACAAAATAAAGCTTAGGAATTAATGGAATCGGGGATAAAAAAGTAGAATTGCTTTTCGACTTTATCCTGTCACCGTAAACTCGGTAGCTACTGCTTGCCGGTATATCTCGTGCAAGACGGGAATTTGATGCCAAGCGTCTACGTAGGATGTCTTACAATTGGAAAGTATGTTTACATGCCTTTGGAAAATTTTCCAGTCATGTGCAGCATTATGCTGTGAGGCTGTGACATATATCCGAGCGCGAAATCTTTCCAGTGGCACCCTGGCAAAACGCCAGAATTATTTATCAGTAAGGTACTGTACTGTGCAACTTTTATCTCAACTGGAGCCTTCTACACCAAAGCTGTTGCCCTACGTTGTACCCCATTGTTTATCTACAGTAAATGTGATATAATTGTTAAACAGACGTACATGGAGGAAATGTAGGAAGCTTCTGGTAATACTAGCAGTTATGTATGTTCAAAAGCGCATCTCCTAACGGTACCCCGCAGCACTCCGGAGCATCTGTGTGAACATTCATTGGTTATCATATAGAGGAGTGGAAATATCAAGCATGCTAAATAACATTCTTAATTAAGATTTTACACATCTTATCTCCGCTCCAGATATTTATTAATTTAATTATGCTTGCAAGAGATTTGCTATTTAACGTTAACTCCCCCGTGCTAAGATTGATTGGACTGTTTAGTTTTGTTTTCGAAAAGGATGCGCTATAATTGCTGTCGTGTTGAATTAAATAAGCCTGCATGCTTTGGAACATAATATAGAAACAAAGACACATCTTAATGCAGGGATATATAAAGTGCTGCCAGCTTAAAAATAGATTGCAATGCATCATCCCAACAGCTACAGGGATGTTTCCTACTGAACTAGCATTAAGCTCTCTTCCTTATGATCTCAGTACTCTGTAACATGGTAGGTTTTTACTTACAACTGACATGTTTGCTTTTATCGTTTTGTATAAATGTACTTTTGCGTAACTGGCGAACATATCGAGAAATGTCTTTATTTTCTGAATTTGAAGGTACAGTAGTTGTTCCCGGCTGTTCTGACTGAACAGGTCTGTATCAGACAAGTCGCAAGTATTTTGACTTAGAGGCAAGCGGTATTCGTTATCTTAGGCTTTGTGAATGTTTTGCGTTGAAATCAACCTTTGGTTAAAATTTCTATGCAACAGTAGCACGCAGTTTCACTTGGCTAGGTTTAAATGGTTCCTGGAAACGGACCTGTTTTTTGCACGACTTCTTAATCAAAACATGTTTGTCTGGGAATCCGTATCTGCGTAGTGTCTGATAGGCTTACCTTTTTATGGATGTTTTTGCATGTAAATGAAGAGCCTAGCTTTAATACGAATAGGGCTGACATTTGTTGGGATGAAAACATGTTTAATGTTTTAAGATTAATCTTGGCAATTGGTTCAAATGTATTATTAGTTGACTCCTGTTGTTTTGCATAAATCATGCAGTTTGATTAGTAAATCATAGTATAATCAGCAGATTGCGTCCGAACTCCAAAGTCCTAATCGTCTCCATGTAGCCTAGCTATTGAGTCTAGTAGGTTTATTTCCCTTTATCCATACAAACATTATTTATATCACTGGGGGTCACAATTGCATCAGTTTTCATTTTTCACTCATGGTGTATTACTTTATCACTCAAGAAGTTAACGGATGAATCTGACTTGAAATGTGTGCTTTTTAAAATAATGCAAGCATGGCAAATCGTTTTGTATTTTCGTTTGCCTCTGCGACCAAAACGACCTGTTTTTTTTTCTGAGGTCCTTTCTAGCAACCTTGAATTCACACTTTCTCGCAGGTTATGGTGAATTGAAATGATTTGTATTGTAAATAGGGGTGTGCTATAGTAACAGGAGTGTAATCTGAGTGAAGATCAACGGTGGAGCATGTGCCGTCTCATTTTTTTCCGCTTGGCAAAGTATTCGTCTCTTGGGTGCCCTGAGCTGAACTGGAGTTTTGTTTCTGTGCGCGACGGTTTTCAGACCTGAACTGGAACACGCAGTGACTTATGGTACTGCTTGGCCGGAGTCTAGCTATGAATTTGAGCCACGCTAGGTATGAGCATCACAAAGCATGTTTCGAAAGACCTTTGAACAAGAAGATAAATCACTGCTTGTAGTTGTTGTTAAGCCCCATGACATTTTACCAAATGGGATTTTTTTTTGTTTATCTTAATGTATGATCTTACTGCAGAAGCACCTTGTAGCCATCATCATGTAAATCGCTCGCTTTTCCAATGCGTGGGAATATGTATTCCTGTGTCTCGTAATCAAGTGTGTGTGTAATTCAACCTGGTTTATATACGGCTTTTGCTAGAAAGATGAAATTCCTAGTTTATTTTAATTATATCCTTATGTGGGGCTACTTTTGTAATAGTGCATTTTCAGTGAATACAGATGAATTAAATAATTAGAAACATGCACATTATATTTAATTAAATGCCACATAGCCTAACTATAGATGTGTAAAGTGATCACTAGGGGAAACATTGAACTGACTACCATTCCTATTGATAGAAGAAGTTAGCATCGTAGTACTAACAGTTTATTGAGATAATTTATTGCCTTCCAAGAAAAGGAAGAAAGAATGCAGATAGAAATGGTCAGCAGTTTGTGTTGAGAACATGTTATGTTCCTGCCTTGTGTCATAAACTTTGTATGCATCTAGTCTGACAGTCTTTGAACCAGCAGGCACTGAGATTTGCAGTTTGATGAAGCTGATAATTTGTATCTTAAGTGCAGTGCAGCAGCTGTCAGACATACTGTATATGAATACAAGTGTTGGATGTGACATTATCTAAAAGGCCAGATATATAAAAAAAAACTAGCAAGACTTCATGCTAGTACCAGTTGCTTAAAGTTTACAACAGATGGTCTTACCATGGCAAGTATGTGATACTGTTCATGAATGGGGGTAATGGTGTAAAATTGTTTGGGTTGAAAAATCTTTCTGTGAACAGGCCATCAAATAGCTGTATCACAGAAGAATGGCACTCCATTCTTACTCCAGATTACTGGTGCAACTGCAGGAGTTTGCAATAAATAATTACTGTTTTAAGTGGTTTTGTAAAAAAAGGAAACTGAAGCATAATGAATTTGTTTACAGCTTTTTCAGAAAAGAACAATGGAGTGAGAGAGGGGTTTGAACAATAGAAATGTCTTCCAACCAAAGTATTGGGTTAAGCTTTTAGGAGCTGAAAAACAGAACAATAAAGAAATTAAAATACAGTTGCTATTTTAGATGTGCGCTCATGGTCAGAATTCTTTTAATCTTGCAATAGATTTTTTTTTCCATAGAACTAAAGTATTAAATTAAACCCTTGCTTTATTCCACTCACATGTTCTTGGTCTTGTTGTGTTCTCAATATCCTGCGGTATTTAATTAAACCCCTTTTGTCTGGATTCCTCCCTGCAGTGTGCTGCCTTGGTTGGTGAAGACCAGCCTCTCTGCTCCGACCTCCCAGAGCTTGACCTTTCAGAGCTAGATGTCAGTGACCTTGATGCTGATAGTTTTCTGGGAGGACTCAAATGGTACAGTGACCAATCAGAAATCATTTCCAGTCAGTATGGCAGTGAACCTTCAAATCTGTTTGAGGTAAGAACAGAGGACTGTTACCTTCTCACCTATGTTTTGTAAGATACGGCAGAGATGTGTGTGCACATATTGAACAAAGGAAAAGGACCAATGTGAGCTTATTTTTTTATAAATGTGTATCACCTCAAACAGTTTCAGGTACATTTTGCTTTGCTTGAGTAAACGCACGTTTTATCTTTAAAGGTACAAAGAAAAACATTGTTGCAGGTGATAAAATGTTATTATATGGTAGCAACCTATGACCTGCAGTTACTTTCTACTCTGGCGACAGTTTATCAAATCTAAAGTAATGCTTTGAATAAAGAGGAGTTCTCAGAACAAGTGAACTGCAGAGTGCTGTTATTAAGTAAACGTATCCTTGATTATAGGTCATGTTGTGAAATATCTTCAAAGGTTTTGAGTAAAACTTTAAACCATTTTACTTCTGTTTCTGTCACATTTCAGAACCAAAGTCCATAAGAGCAGGAAACTCGCTATTAAGCAAACCATCTAAATTAGGAGGTAGTTCATATATACAGAGCGGCATAAAAAACACAATTGACTATTGGAACCAATGACATTTTTTTGTAAATTTAATGCCTCTCAATGTAAGCATACAGTACATAAAACTATGGAGGCATTGGTATTTGGATATAAAAGTAGTAATTTACTAAAGCTTATTCCCTGATTATATTACATTTTATTTGGTTTATACATTCCGTGTTCTACATAATGTTGCAAATTTGTTACCAAAGACAATTAAAGTTTTTGCGTTTTCCACGTTTTCTAAGCCAGTTATTAACTACAAAATAGCTACTGAAATATTTCCAGTGCTCCAAATGTCTCCTGCACTGGAGTTGACTTCAGCTTTGTTGAAGAATGAATAAAAAAATATCAGAAAGGTCCCTAAATACTTTGTCAGAAACTACAGGGCATTAAAAGCTTTTTAAGTTCAAGAGTGCGGGTTCTGTAAGCAGTCTGAGGCATTCAGCTTTAGTATGTAAAATCATTACATACTAAATTAGTCAAATTGTTCATACTGGGAGGGATTTCAATTTCTGAGCATGGCAAGTCATTGTGTACATTTAAATATAGAAGTAAACATGGATACATACCCAAATATGTTTTTACAAGTCATGCAAAAAATGGTGGAATTGATAGTTTATTCTTTTCCATCGCCCTCCTTAAATCATTCAGTTTCTAATAAGGGATAAAGATTTCAGGCAGTTAAAAGCACTAGGACCTCCTAGGTGTACTTCCAGAATACACCAGCGTGGGTCACTAGAGAAGGCTGTGCAATCAAAAAATACAGACCGCATATTTAATAAATTACCAGATCTAGTGTCCATTAAGTTGGCATGACCTTTTGAACTGACATGTTAAAAAAGTTATGCAGTGCTTGTGTTGCCTGTCTTGTGACTGCTGTTAATGGGTATTCATGGAAACTTCATTGCTGAATGTGTTCTGGACTGCCCGCTGCCATCCTTTTTTTCACAGTTTGATTTTGATTCTCAACAAAAAAAAAAGCCTGTGGCCTTTGGTTGGTGGATCAGGGAGATATGATCAGGGAAAACAGAAGGGCCTGAGATTCAATGACTTGATGGCTGATGCCCTTCAGTGCCAATTCAGCATGATTTATCAGTCCCATCTATTCGCTAAAATGGAGTCCAGAGGTGGTTGTATGAAGCAGTGTAGTGGCGTACACATTGCAAGACTGTGAATGAAAGCTCCAAAGCTGTCTGCTGCCTGTCACTGCTAACTGAACAATTAATGTTTATGAAAGTGTTTTATAGGAGTATCCCACTACGGTTTCTTTTGACAGATTATATATTAAAAGTGCAAATGCCTACCAAGATGTACTATGTTAGAAAAATGCCTTATATTTTTAGCAGCCTTGGAATGGGCCTTTCTATTTTCGCATACACGTTGCTTACTCATAATCATGAAAATATGATGGACCTACAGATTACTTATTTGATTCTTTCCCTAGAATATTTTGAATTGTTTGTGTTCACTGTAGTGCCAGTTTGCAAATGTATTTAAATACATTTTACTTTTAATTTGAAGTTTATCATCCACAAACATATTCATCTTTGACACAAATTTCTTTTTTATCTTATTATGGGAGATTTAACACACTTGTTTAGTGAATACATTCAGTAAGATGATTCTCTGTGCATCTTGCATATTCACATGTCTCTGCTTTATAGATTGAGATGTGCGGTATGCTGAATACGGCCTTTTAGGTAGTGTGCTTGTAAATTAAAATGTTGAACGTGATTTCTGTAAGTTTGTTTTTTCTGCGTAAAGCACTCTCTCTAAAATTCATCATTAACTTGTATTTTTACCAGACTGTTTTAATCCGGAGATTATCTTCATGTACAGTAGCTATCAGTTAATATGAATGCTCTGTTTCTTTTTGCTTGTTTATATGGAGCGGAGCTCATTGCTTTCCTGTATATCAGAGTCTGTGCCAAGAGTGCCGACTCTTAAACATTCTTGTAACAAAGCTGTGCTCCCAGTAAGGCTTAAGTATGTGCATTCTCTTGCTGTTATGTACCGTACTAACTGCTCTACTTGTCTGTAAATGGGACCCCCAGGCCTGTTTGAAAAAGGGCAAGTTAACATCTTACGGTTACTTCTTGGCCCCAGCTTTGTTTTTCACTCTCCCTGATGTGTAAAGCTGTTGATTCTCAATGAGCCAAGGATTAGAAGCATAGTGCTTTGTAATCTTGCCCACCTGGTAGTGGATGTATTGTGTATCTGTTTATTTCCTGAAGCAAGCCACTTTTATTTGCAAAAAAGAAATAGGCTATATTGGCAAGGAGGGAAAGGGGAAAGGAGGCAGAGGGAAGGCAGTGATCCAGACCAGCACCACCTAGCACATGTTCCAGCTAATTATAAAATGCCTCCACTTCCATTCTAGAGGACACACTGTACTCTGGCGGGCGCTTTTAAATACAAGCCGATGTCAGCTGACGAACCACTATTTGAGACTGCATTCTGTACAGTTTGTATTCAATGATTTGAACATGCCACTAGCCCTTGTCTCCCAGACCACAGGAAATCCAGTTTGGTCACAGTAACAGCATACAAAGGCACCCATGTCCCTTATTTAGTTAGGGCTGTGATTTATAAACCACATTTCTGTTCCTTGAGAGATATGTCAATAATCATCTTTTAACACATGTAGAAGAAATGTGCCAAGTAAAAACCTTCTCTGCTGCAAGAATCTTGTACTTAAACTCAGTCAAATTGTTTTGCTACTGTATGTATATTTAGTGAATTGCTAGCAGTTGTATAGACGATTCCCTGGTGTGAGCTATTTTAGGCCAAAGGTAATCTGGTGTAAGAGCTTTCCAGGACTCTGTTTCTTTAACCTGGCCTGAAAAGCTAAGCCAATAAGCTGTCTGATTGTTTCCTTCCTATGATAAACCAAAATGGCTGCAACCTTCCTCTTATCTTCCCTATCCGTGAGTTAAAATTATATCTTCACCTTTACACAGGAAAGAAAGGAAGTAAATAAGGGATTTAATACATTAAAAAGCAGTGATGAGAAATGGCTCATTACCTGTTTCCTGTTGTTGTTTGGCACATTGCCTGTTGTCTATTCCTTTTCTTATACAATTGTATTGTTCTTTTTTTCTGCTTCTTACCATCAAAGAGCTAGCTAAATAGCATTTCATATTACCATATAGCTGTGTATGAGTATAATGACAATAAACTTGAACTTGAAATAATAGAAGTAATGTATTACATTGTACTGTATGTTCCTGAGTAAGTAATTGTTACTGATCACAAATAAAGTACCTCAATCACTGTGTGTAAAGGCATGGTAATTATGTCAAACTGATCACAGTATCTGAAACTTTATAAATGTTTTACTCCATCATACTTTTTAAGTTGATACTGCAGCTGTTGGGAGCACAACAGCATGGGGGCTAGTGTTGTTGCCAATTGGCTCAATTCTTCCTTCAATTCTGGCCTGGGGTGTCTTCTGTGTGAAGTTTGCATATTCTCCCTGGTGCCATGTGGGTTTTTGCCAGTAGTGCTGGTTTGCTTCAACAGTCCAAAAACAGGCTGGTCAAGGTATGTCCCAGTGCAGATCCAAACTTGCATCCTGTTTGTCTGTAGGGTTGAGCTCTGGTCCACGATGATGCTGTAAAGAACTAAGCAGTTATCGAAAGTGGATGGATCATCATAGCTTTACTCTCTATACAATTTTCATTTTTTAGGGTTTTTGTCATCCCCCCCCCCCGTTGACGGTCTGTCTAAATGTGTGGTCCATCTCTGTTCCCTTTTTTTATTGTGAACAGAATCATCTTGCCATATCTTGGTTTGATGAAAAAGAGGCTGTCTTTGGGAATAACTTCTTATTGAATGCTGAAATACAAAAGGCTGATCTATAAAGAAGCACAGAGTGACTAGTGCAAGCTGCAAAGTCAACTCTGTGCGCGCTTCTGACAGTAATTCAGCTGCTCCAGTTAGCATGTCATGCAAAAGCTGGGGAACCAGTCAGAAGGGGCATTTTGGTTACAATGAGGGCTGAATTGTTTCCCCTCACTTGCAACCTCTCATGTGTTCTGTCAAGTGATTGTGCTTTCCTGTGCCAAGTTTTCTCATGGACAATTCCTATGTTTGACTCTTCATATATACAGTACTTTTGACATTTGATAGATCTGTATTGCCCGGCCCTCTTGTTGGACCCATTCTGGTAGTTTTTATCCTATCAGGAAAACAGAAAAGTGTTTTTTCCATGTTGTTGATTATGGATGTGTAAGATAATTTCTCAATTAGGATACCATCCACTTACTACTTTGGTAAATATTAGACATATTTTTTCATGACGGCATATTTTAAATCATTAACACTGTGGAGATTTGACTTTGATAAATATAGGTTTGTAACCACAATTGTGTGTTTTTCAAAGTTTGACCACTGAAATTGGTCTGTGGTATTAACAACTTTATTAAGATTATATTGTTAATCCCCAACTGATTAGTTTGAGATGTAACATTCTG